CGGCGCGTACAATAAAATGGACCTACAATATTATTGACTATTTGCAAATAGTAACTATGGAGACGAGGTAATAAAATAAAAATCAAGTAGAGAACAACAACAAAATTTTATAAACGAAAACCTCTCGCCGGGCATTGGCTATTGTATTATTTCCGTGTCAATGTTCCCATCTTCATTGAAAGGCAAAAGATGACAAAAATCAAATACGTTTTCTTGAATTATGAATAACACGAATGGATTAAAATATTTAATTAAATTATCTCAAAATAAACCTTCATTTCGGTGCAATATTGAAATTAGCTTGAATTCTTCATAACACGAATGGATTAAAATATTTAATTAAATTATCTCAAAATAAACCTTCATTTCGGTGCAATATTGAAATTAGCTCGAATTCTTCATAACCTCTGAATAGTGGTTAACCCAACGGGTCACGGTGGTCTATTATATATATATATATAAAACGCTAAACATATTAATGAATTTGTCTGCATAAGGTATACTTTATTTAAAACGCGGCAATAATACTATACAACCATGACTTTGCACTTCTTATATAAGATGCTTCACCTGTATTTATATATCACAACACTAATAAAAACTATGTGAAGAAAGCCTATGTAACTTTATTACATACCCAGTGCAAAAGGGTATAACATATATAATTCTGAAATGCATGTTGACACAACTTAAGGCTCATAAGGCTCCGATAAGAGAGCCGAAAGCTCTCAAATAAAAGTATTTTTACATAATTCTACATACAACTTAAACAATTATAAGGGAAAAAATAACTTTGGGATAATAGATGTTAATTTATACAAATCGCGTTGCATTTTGGCACGTGACAAAATAATATTGTCAGATGATTATATTTGCAAATAGCAGTCATTTCATCATTTTTTATAGCCGTCGGTTTATCAGAAACGACCTCTTCAGGGAACATAAGATGAACACTGTAACGATTAATGGACGCTGCTATGGTTTAGGCTTATGTGGTTTAGTGAAGAAGTTCGGTGTGCCAACTGAGAGTTAAGAGTACACTGTGACTGGAAGCCAGAACCAGAACCAGAGTTTAGACTGGTGGTCCGATAAGCAAATGGCTTAGTCAAACTGGACATCTTGTCGGCAAAGTACATTCTTACTTTTTTGGTACATGAGAAGGCAAAAAATATGAACATTCCTTGAAGTGTATTAAAAACTACAAAGACGTACCACAAGCTCTCCAATCCAGAATATCCCGCAACGAGTCCAAAGATCCACGATAAACCCATCAAAATGTACAGCTTTGTGTATAGTCGAAAATTTCTCTTCGGAGACGTACAAGAGGCTTGATATTTAGCTGTATTATTAGTGGAAGCTAAAATAATTCCTGCACTTAAAATAAAAAAAACGATGTTAATCAGCATAATTAGTGCAACAGGTGTAGCAAAGAAAACCAGTAGCGCCCTCCTGTGGTTAAACCAGCAGAGACTCGTGCCAAATGCAGGTCTGTATTCAATGGGAATACCATCGAGACTTTCAAATACAACAGATAAAACAACAATAATAATGGGAGCAATCCAGCAGTAAAATGAGTAGGACACGAAACGACGCCATTGTTTGCCACTGGACACACGAAGGTCTTTTGTGGCCATGCGCAGTGTTCTCCAGACATCAAAGGCCAAAATATTCATCCAAAAAAACGAAGCCAAGAAGGAATAATACATCACTATTGCTATGATGGTACAGACAGCACGAGAGAGAATGTTAAACTGCCCTGCAATAAAACAAGAATAAGAAATAATCAACGCCACAGCTAATGATGCTAAGTTTCTTCCACAGATACTATGGAGATCTGGAACTAATATAAAAATAACGAAGTGAAGAACTAGGCAAATCAACGATATTCCTAAACCAATGTTGCTTATGTATCCCAGATAAACCGAAAACGTTTCTTTGCTGTTTGATATCGAACTTTTTTCGTTTTTACAAATCAGTACGTTATTTCCTTTCATCAGATAGTATGATTGGTTATAACTTTCTTCGTATTTTTCAACAAAAACATCACCATTTTTCAAAACAGTGTATTCATTTTTATAAAGCACAACTTTCAAACAGTGTATAAAATCTTGAGCATATTTAGATGTTTCATTAGAAGTTTTATTTTGAAAGACCCGAGTCAAACTTCCATCTGTATCATTCACCCATTCTTTCAAAGTATTGTTTGTCTCAGAGGACTGGTCTATTTTTGTTTCATTAACTAAGGAGTGTGTGGGTTTGCTGGAAACGTCTATTTGGCCCCTGGTGGAGGGATCAGGAAGAACTGTTGTTGATAGCTGAATACACTCGCCAGATACATACTTGTAGCCAGGTAGGCCGCACACAGTGTTTACACAACGTTTGAGAAGAAAGTCATAGCGTTCTTCGTCTTCGCACACAACGTCTTCACCAACGTACTCACCCATTTTGGTGTTTATATCAAAGAGTAAGGAGAAGGCGTTGGGATTGAATATTTCCACTTCAAACTCTCGTTTAGAGGATGGACTACACCTTAAACTGCTGGCACTTACATTGTTGCACAACGCACAGTGGACATTGCGGTAACCATTATATCGGGTGTATATAGCTCCCATGTAAGCGGCACACTTGGTCATCATTTCCTCATCTGGCCAACTAGGAAGACATTCGGAGATCAAGTCTTCTCGGCAGAACCTGTAATTCATTGGTATGGGGTCAGGAAAATTTGGGTAAAATACACAAGTTTTGAAAAGTTCGCCCTTGGGGATTCTGTTCAATCCAAAATCCCCAGCTATGGGTAAGATTATTATATGTCATGGTTTTGAGAATGTCTTTCACCTTAAAGTCCTTTATGTAGTCTTTTACAATGTATGGACAATCTAGATAAAGTCTCCACTTTATTATATCATCTACGTCACTGTTACAGATAGCGCAGAAATTATTCTTATAGATAACGCCAGTTTTGACATTAAAAACTGGCGTCTGGCCTAAGAGGGCGATGGGTTCTTCTGTATCACTTTCACAACGAGTACGGATTTCTTCCACCCCCTGCCACCCAGGCCTACATTTATCTTTAACATACAGATATGTGCCTTGAGCCAAACTGGTACAGTTCCACTGTTCTTTATCGTACTTGCGAGACTTTACGTCCACACAACAGTCGTCGTATTTTCCACACAGGTCGTCACACATGCAGTGTCGCGTCTGTAAGCTATCCAACCGTCGACTTCGGGTCGTACATGTGTCTTTCGTGGAGCAAGTACTGTTGAGCAATAGTTTTTGTATCTCCGAATACGTCACGTTTACAGCCGTGAATACGTCGAGAAAAAGTACAACTGCAACAAGCTTGACCAAAAGCATCTCCACAGAAGAAAGCGACAAGATACCAATTAAAAACGCCCGATTTTATCTCCAGGTGAATAAAGTTTCAAGATTTTTGTTTTTTCTTCTTACTTGTCAAACGTTTCTTTTCTTGAGATAACATTCTGAAAAAACAACAACAAAAAAACAGTATTATAACAAACTATTCGATAGTGGCAACAAATGTTGATCTCTCACCGATTCATTTATTTAGACAAAATAATATTATACTTTATTTAGATCCAAACATTTGATTTGACTGGAGACTTTGCTGTTAGAATTTAGACACAGGTGATGGCAAGGGTTCATAGTTTACTACTTGTAGTTTTCCTTGTGTTGTTCCAAAATGTTGGCGATGGGTATTGATTAGCTGTCTTTTCTCTAGTCTGTAACTTTTAAATTAGGAATGTATAGCGCCGCAGATAGCTCTTGAGTAGCTATTTCCGAAATTTAATAAACAAACCTTGTCTGTTCCAAAGTGTGTGATGAATAATGACATTTTTGTTAATATGGGAATATTTTAATGGTATTAATAATAATTAGTGTTCCAGTTCTAGCGAATTAAATTAATACAAAATTACTTTAAATGATAACTGTAAAGATAATCAAAACGTCACACATAACGAGACTAATGAAAATATTAAAACTGTTTTTATCCCTTTACAACAGTCAGAGGGCTAAAATCTATAAATATTTCTAGCCAGTCTACAACTTCTTGAAAATATTAAAAACTGTCATCCTTTTACTGCCCCCCCAGTGGCACAGCGGTATGTCTGTGGACTTACAATGCTAGAATCCGGGTTTCGATACCCGTGGTGGGCAGAGCACAGATAGCCCATTGTGTAACTTTGTGCTTGATTCCAAAAAACAAACAAATCCTTTTACTGATATACACAACAGTCAGAGGGCTAAAATCTACAAATAATTCTAGTCAGTCTACAACTTCTTGAAAATTTAATCAATTGTCATCCTTTTACTGATATACACGACAGTCAGAGGACCAAAATATGTAATATTTTCGAGATCAATCCACAACTTTTCAACCACGTTTCTTGAATGATATGGTTTTTCTCGAATACAGCGGTATTAGGTTTTAGAAAGCTTTTTCTTCTTTCCAAATAAAAGTATACCAGAAGCAGCTCGTCTGACAGAATGATGTTTCGGGTCGAACATGTGCAGTTAAACCGAATTAATAAAGTTGGCCTACATATAGCTCGAAGACAGTGTTTTGGGCTCATATTGTACGTCCTTCACCAGGCTACATATAGCTCGAACACAGTGTTTTGGGCACATATTATACGTCCTTCACCAGGCTACAAGAGATATATTTCCCGAAACCTTTTCTTTTTATAGATTTGTACAAATGCAATATTCTTTTTCATGTTCCTGGCTAGGTGGTTAGGGCACTTGACTCGCAATCCCAGTCCAACCAAACATGCTCTCCCTTTCAGCCGTGAGTACGTTATAATGTGACAATCGATCCCACTATTCGTTGGTAAAAGAGTAGCCCAAGAGTTGGCGGTAGGTGGTGATGACTAGCTGCCTTCCCTCTAGTCTATCACTGATAAGCTAGGGACGGTTAGAGCAGATAACCCATTGTGTAGCTTTGCGTGAAATTCAAACAAATAAAACTTTCTCATGTTCCTTCATCAATATTTCTTCTAAAAAATTGTCTTACACAATTGTCTTCCTTGATTGATTGATTTTCAGACATTATTACAGGTTAGTCTATTTTATTTTCAGACACTATTACAGGTTATTCTAATTTATTTTTAGACACTATTACATGTTAGTCTATTTTAGTTTTTGGGAATATTTTTTTCTTTATTACAAGAATCGAAACTTTAAAGTTGGCTCTTGTACCTGAAACTTCTTGTACTTTGATAGTTGTGTCTCTAGGGCTTGACTGGCATTTCTAAAGATGAAGTATATAAAACAAGTCTGAGAGATTAACTTGTTTCACTACTGCAAGTTTGAGAGATTAATAATACTCCAATATCACAAACAAACCTTCCAGTTTAGTAGTTTTCCTTTTGACCAGTAACGACAGATTGATTGGGCTACGTATGTGCGCTGTGCCCAGATCAGGTATATAAAACTAGTTTTGGGCGTTATAAGCTCCCAAGCTTACCGCTGAACCACCAGGAGGAGTGGGGAGGCAGTTTGATGAGACTCAAACTGGGTCCTTCCAGACAATCATATTACACCAGGCGCTGCGGACAATGACCTACTGACCTTGTTTACCAGAACTTCAAGGTTATCACAACTGTACAAGTTGCTCAAATGTGGGGCAACTTCTAACGGAATAGAAAACAACTAATGGAAACGAGCAGAAAACACTTGACATATAGCGTTTTACATTACTGGTAAATATTGTTGTTTTTTTTTTTTTTGTATTAATCGCTAGTCAGTCTCGAAAAGATGTTAACCAGAATAACTGGTTTAAAAAACATTTAACCATAACAAAACTTTGTGCCTGCTCTTTCAGCAAACTGTTTACACGTTGGATTATAAAGGAGATAACGACTGTCGCTCACCACTCAGCAGTTTGTTTAATAGTTTATTGAATTATGTAATGTTTAATCCTCTTCTGCCTGTAGTTAAAACAACCATAGATGTGCATACTCGTGACGTTGTTCTATCTCAGGTGGAGGGGGAATGAGGCATATTTATTTTATACGACATTTCTAGAATTTATTGACTGACATTCTGCAAAATTGTACCTTTCTTAAGACCAGTTGCTTCATATCTGAAGAAATATGAAACATAATTACGTATGAACTATTAAGGTGTTGAGTTTAAAAAAGCAATGATATAAATGGGGGCGTGGGCCGCCACCTTCTACTATCTTGAGCCGTAGCACATGAACCGTTCACCCAATGCCAGCGGACGACATTAATCTTTGTTTAGCGTCGGCTTCACGTATCTTTCCAATCGTTTGTCCGATTGCTTATCCATTTATCTTCGACCTTTAATCGATCAAATCCGAATTCTTCTCCCAAATTTAATCGAAACTGGTTTAGCCAGTTCCTCACAACAAATTGAGACACCAGACAGACAGATGAACAACTTTGCTTTATATAAGTAATAAGCAAACCAGAGGCCGGTATTTAAGATTAGGAGCAGATTCAAATATTCAAACCCACAACGTCCAACATCTAAATCACCATTTACCACCTGCAACTAGTCGTGAAACGAAATAGAAATATTGTTCAACATATTAGTGAAAAATTCCGTTGAGCGTGATAAATGACCGTTTATTTCCCGAACATGGCGTTCTGAATAACGGTTAGGTACAGGTTAAAACACTATATCATAGTCTAAGGTTACAATATTTGTTTGTTTGTAATTAAGCACAAAGCTACACAATGGGCTATCTGTGCTCTGCCAACCACGGGTATCGAAACCCGGTTTCTTGCGTTGTAAGTCCGCAGATATTCCGCTGTGCTACTGGGGGGCGTTACTATGTTAATATATTTAAATAACAAAAGCTTTAATTCTTCCAAGTCCAATAATTCAGTACAACTCCAACCTCCTCCTTGACCTCTCGGCTGTTTAACATTAAACAACTGTGTGAACTTACACAGCATACAATTCTCTCTGTTGTATGATAATAGGTGTGGTTTATTGGTATTTAGGGTAGGTGGGATGAGAGGAGGCGGTATGAGCAACCACAAACAAACCAATTGAAAGTGTAATTTCCTGAGCCAGCTGGTATTTTTGGAACATTAAAGCGATGTACGATTAAATTAAATATTTGTTCTGTTTTGTTAACCCTATGTCCAGATATAGTTAAAACAACAAGTCAAAATCATCTTAGAATATGAACTGTTTTGTTAACCCTATGTCCAGATATGGTTAAAACAACAAGTCAAACCCATCTTAAAATATGAACTGTTTTGTTAACCCTATGTCCAGATATAGTTAAAACAACCAGTCAAAAATCATCTTAGAATATGAACTGTTTTGTTAACCCTATGTCCAGATATAGTTAAAACAACCAGTAAAAATCATCTTAGAATATGAACTGTTTTGTTATCCCTATGTCCAGATATAGTTAAAACAACAAGTCAAAATCATCTTAGAATATGAACTGTTTTGTTAACCCTATGTCCAGATATAGTTAAAACAACCAGTAAAAATCATCTTAGAATATGAACTGTTTTGTTATCCCTATGTCCAGATATAGTTAAAACAACAAGTCAAAATCATCTTAGAATATGAACTGTTTTGTTAACCCTATGTCCAGATATAGTTAAAACACAAGTCAAAATCATCTTAGAATATGAACTGTTTTGTTAACCCTATGTCCAGATATAGTTAAAACACCAGTCAAAATCATCTTAGAATATGAACTGTTTTGTTAACC